GGGAAGCAAAGAGAGAAATAAAGAAGGAAGGAAGAAGGGAAAGGGAGAAATAGAGAAGGAAGGAAGGAAAGGGAGAAATAGAGAAGGAAAGAAGGAGTATGGATGTAATGGAGGGAGTGAGGGGTGGATGGATGGATGGAAGGAAGGAAGGAAGGAAGGAAGGAAGGAAGGAAAAGCAGATGTGAGAGGGAAGAAGGAAAGAAAAAAGCAGGAGGGAGGGAGGAAGGGAGAGAAGAGAGATAGATTAGGGAGGGAGGAATAAAGGAAAGAGAAGAAGGAAGGGAGGGGAGGAAGGAAAAAAATGGGAGAAAGAGAGGGAAGGGAAGAATGAAGGGAAGGAAGAGAAGAAGGAAAGGAGGGAGGTGAAGAAAGGGTGGAAGGGAGGGAGAATTGGAGAAGGAAGGAAAATGAGAAAAGGACAGGAGGAAAGGAAAGACGAAAAAATAAAGAAGGAAAATGGAAGGGGAAAAAAAGAGCGATTATTATCTCCGGTGTGTAATTATCCATGACCTGATTTCTAATTATTGCAAACTAATTAAAAAAACAACAACTTTGCACCAGCCCACCAATGCAAATTCCGGTCCATTTTGCCCCGGAGACAAAAGAGGGATCGAGGCAGCGTTTCCCGTTACATCTTTAAGCGAAAGGATCCTTTGAAATCCTGGGCGCAGCGCAGCCGTCGGCAACAAGGGGAGGAAAGCCGCGGGCGCCAGGGTTCCGCCCCGGCGTTTCTCCTGGGGAGTCGGTCAGGGCACCTGTTGCACTCTCATGATGTTGGTGAAACCAGCCCCGGGTCTCCACCCGCTGACGATGATCACCACGTCTTCCGAGCGTAGGAAACCTCGCACGCGGCCTGGAAAGCGGGGGAAGGAGAAAGGTGACTCAGAGAAAGAAGGGGAAGGGGGGAAAGTAAATGGATGGAGGAAGGAAGGGAAAGGATGGAAGGAGGGAAGGAAGAGGGAGGAAAAGAAAAAGGAGGGAAGAAAGTGAATGGATGAAGGAAGGAAGGGAAAGGGTGGAAGAAGGAAGACGGAGGAAAAGAAAAAGGAGGGAAGAAAGTGAATGGATGAAGGAAGGAAGGGAAAGGGTGGAAGAAGGAAGGAAGATGGAGGAAAAGGAGGGAAGAGAGGAAAGTAAATGGATGAAGGAAGGAAGGGAAAGGGTGGAAGAAGGAAGGAAGATGGAAGAAAAGAAAAAGGAGGGAAGGGAAGGTAAATGGATGAAAGAGGGAAGGGAAAGGGTGGAAGAAGGAAGGAAGAGGGAGGAAAAGAAAAAGGAGGAAAGAAAGTGAATGGATGAAGGAAGGAAGGGAAAGGATGGAAGGAGGGAAGGAAGAGGGAGGAAAAGAAAAAGGAGGGAAGAAAGTGAATGGATGGAGGAGGGAAGGGAAAGGGTGGAAGAAGGAAGGAAGAGGGAGGAAAAGAAAAAGGAGGGAAGAAAGTAAACGGATGAAGAAGGGAAGGGTCTCGGAAAGAACGAAAACAGCTCCACCCACTCACCCATCTCAATCCCGAACTGCACCCGGTGATCGACGTCTTCTGCCCAGGTGCCCGGCTTAGCGCCCTGATACACCACTGGGAAAATCCCGCGACTGAGGTGAGCTTGGCGGGCCACCTGTTCATCGTTGGTCACGGCAATGATGAGAGCCCGCGGTCGGTAGCGGGAGAGGATCTGCGCAGACCTGAATTTGGGGGTGGGGGCGGGAGAGGAGGGGGGGGG